ACCGAATTGGTGGTAGTTGTGTTTGTCATCAATAATTATTTTATTATTACCACAACGGTTATGCTCGTTATTACCGCGCCGGCAGAGTCAAATTTATTCATAATCAGGCCATTCATGAGTTATGTAATGCCAGTTTTCTTAGAGTGAGTTAAACCATGTATAAAAAACCCAGAAGAGTAGCGTGTGATAAAGAGTAAAATTTGTTCCTGATTATTTTTCGCAGGGTATTTAATACCGGATTACGAGTGCACTTATTTATTTACTTCTCAAAATTGTAACATTATTTTTAAGAGTGCATCAAAACCAGTTATAAAATATTTCATTATGGCCAATCTAATTAATACAGATAATCTGTTAATTCACAAGATAAATCAAGTCCTCCAAGCGCCGATTGGTTGGATATACAATAGCGTGGAAATGGCAGGTATTTATAAATACTTGGCATATCGACTTATCGATTTCACCGCTCATCATTAGAGACCTTATCGTTAAGATTTATGTATCCCTTCAACTTGAATATTAAGTTGGACAGAGAGAAGGGAATGTTCCACATTCATGCAGGTAATTACACTCTTAGGCATCTAATATTAAAATAATGACATGCTATATTTACGCAACGTGGTATGTAAAAGTAGTATCATGCATGGAGTAATAACATACCTGTTCACTTTCATTCATGTGCTTGATTAAGATAGTGAATGAAAATGAGTTACCTGTGATTTGAATGAAAATGAATGGTTCAGTAATTTCATTCAGTCCTGTGAATGAAAGGATTTTTAACTATTTTCGTTTTTCACCCTATGTACATGGGGCGAAGTAAGAAGCGAAGTCAGATGAAGTGAAGTGAAATGAAATGAGTTTGAATGCAAATGACTGCGTGTGAATGAAAATCTTCAGTTAGAAATCAGGATGACTGAACTTTAAATGAAAAAGCTTTTTTCGAACAAGTATGCGTATTTAATAACTCGTTATTCAAGTTTATCATATCTATCATCAACAAATAGTTACCTACGAACCGGTGTAATTTCAATTACAATGGGTATCAACGTTAACACCGAGATATCACTACCTTCCTAACCATGCCAGATTTCTCACAGTGTATGTACACCTGGGTAACATCCATCAAATAGGAATTTATCGTAAGGCAGGCAGCTATTGATTTAGAATTTCTACTGGTTGGTGTTAAAACTATACCGGTGCGTAAAGTTTGCTACCGATCTTAACTGTGGAGCTATTTTGCACAGCAAAGAATTATTTACCTATATATGGGGTGTTCCATAAGTATCCGGAATTTTTTCATTCGCATATATCTATGGGATATCAGGTTGCCCCAAATTCGAAATGACCGAGGTCGTGTAGCACATATGTACATCCTTCTACCAAAATCCGAAAACCAGAAGTTGATATCTATTTCCGTTCCAAAATGGGTCAAAAACCATGGAGCAACTTGCGAAAGCTCTCCACTACCACGAAAAAGTGGTTACGCGCTCCAAGAAATTGACCTGTAGCTACCTAACAAATCAACTAATTCAAAAACTGAAAATTTGTCATAAACTACTGAGGTATGAGCTACAAAAAACTGATAATCACAAAAAAATATCTGGTCGGCCCATTCGTGTGGCAACCCCAAAAGTGATGAAATTCGTAAAAATAGAAATTTGCACTGTCGGAGCGTAATTCGATTCCGTACTTGAAGTTATCACCCAACATAATACATTGTGTTAAAGCTTAGAAGTTATTTATCAAATCCTGTAAGGTTTTGTAAGCGGGTGGCTATTAATGAGCCCTGAGAATATCTTAAATCATCAGGTATAAATGTCTTAATTTTGGTTATCTTAATTTGCCCTGAGTTTAGGAAAAGGTAGCCTATCGGATATCTAAATGAGCCATGATTAAATTTACAGTTGATTGGATATTGAATCGTGCCAACGAAATGGGAAAAGATTAATATATGAGTCTGAGGGGACAACCCTTCACTGAAAGAATCGCCGATTTTGATGCCCTTTGGATACGTTGTAGTACTAGGTGAGGCTAGTAAAAGTTAAGAAGGATTTTAGTTCATGACCCCATTTGCTCCCGCCACGCCCACTCAAAGGTGCGAAAAACACGGCAAAATGTTTTGTTTTTCTTCACTATAATTGAAATTCATGTCGGATACGATTAAACAACTATCTAGGATCCAAATAGTGCAAGAATTATCAAAATATCATAACAAATTTATTTTTGATGAATTTGTTAATGCCAACAGTGTGGCATGGTCTTCGAATACTTTGAAAGCTATCAGATGAATATATTCCTCTGATAACTTCCAAAGTTATCAATAACATTGATTCCTGATGATCTGGATCAGTCTCATACCATAGGTCAACATGTGGATTAAAAAAAAAAGAATTCAGATGTTTTTTGTTATCGAGAAGGTTGCTTGAGATGACATCAAACACAATTGTGACAACGAGAATTATGCCAAACAAATGATGAGAATAACCATAATACGCAAAAGTTTCATCATTAAAGGCGATCCCAATTGGCGAGAAGCGACAAAAGGTCGACCAGCAAAAGCCAAGTGGGCATAATTGGCTGATTGAGTTATTTTTGATTTGTAAATATATCTATTTCTACGTTTTACATTTATAAATTACCGATTTTTTACCGGGCTGTATTAAGACATTTCGGCATTTTAAAATTTTAAATTCAGGGTAAATTAAGATAAGCTAAATTAAGACATTTTTACCTGACGATTTAAGATAATCTCAGGGCCCATTAAATTTTACCCTTTGTAAGCTTACAAATACAGTGAAGAGTAAAACAAAAGAATCAAGCAGGATGACATAAAAACGACTCGACCTGAAGTCATCAAAATTGGTCGTCCCGTACAACACGATTTACAGCCAAGATGATCAAAATGATATTATTTCCACATAGTTTCCACATACACACTCTCCCAGTTTCAAGAAAACTATATAAGCAACACATGCAAATAAATCTAAGGATAAGCAAAATTATCCCGCTCCGCCTGAAAACAAATCAAATGCAATTAACATAGGAGAGATGAACAACGTTCCCAAATTTGCCCAAACAAGACCTATTGAAGAATTTGTGTCTTTATCCAGTAAAGAATATCATAGTCGAAAACCTTCAGCCGAAAATTTGAACTTATTTCACAAAGTGTGGTCAATAATGGCAAAAAAGGTAGCTCAAAACAGTGGCGAAGCACTTTTTGCAGCGTCGTACGAAAGCTTCCACAGATTTAGCGGAAAGGGGTGCATGAAGCATTTGAAGCAAAAAATTATTATTTTATAAAATTATTAATTTATATGAGCGAATGCAAAAATTCCGGATACTTATGGAAAACCCCATATCACTACCACCTTCGTATAGCCATATACATAAACACGTTGGTAGTAAATCTTTATTTCAATATTGGATTTCTAAGAGTGCACACTATGGTCTTGCTACCTCTCTTTTAATCAGCCAGACACACATAATTAAATCTTTATATTGACACATTGACGGACTAAATTGGGAAATCCACGATATTTCCAAGAATCATTTCATCTGATTTAAGGAATATTGTAATTGAAATATATCACACGGTTTAAAACTTATATATATTTCACTACCAGCTATATAGCGAAATTAAATTCCCCCTTGTCCATGATTCAGGAGCTGAGCTTTAGATTTTCAAATCTATTCAAACATCTATTGAACCGGTTTCCAATTGATGACAGAATTCTTATAATGTAAAAGCCACTAAATTAAAATAAAAATAAAATACAACATTATAATCCTGAATACAAAATTTCTAAATGAAAGTTTTATATGTCCAGTGTGTTTGGTACACGAATTTTTGTCTTGTTTCCCCCAGGTGACAAAACGTCTACGTAATTATTACCCAAAACTGAAGCACTATAAAACATTCGCAGGTGACGATTTGTATTGCAACCTTTGTAATGCTGTTGCACAAGCAACATTTGCATTCCAAAGGTCAAGGGATTCAAACTACATAGACTTAGTTTGCATGTAAGGGCAGGATGGATTTTCATGTATCACTCCATAATGAGAGTGAGAGTAAAAACCATAATTTTGTATTCAATTTCCATATCTACCGCCGAAGTTATTAAAGTAGATTTTTCACATTAATTATACTTCATTTTGTGGACAACAATAATCGTGAAGTAATTAGTCAATTTGATCAATAGGTATAGATATTGAATTTGAAAACAATGAGAAACATATTTAATATAAGTAGTGACTCGCCACTCATGGCTAACCAAACCGTAACCTTGAATGCACTTGAGTGCAGGCAGAGCACACTACATTATAAGCATAGGATAATATATATACGGTAAGCAGAGAGAAGAACGAGGAGTGTAGTTTTAGACACGGAATCAGCAGGTTTAGTTTTTCATCCATCAAGGTTGTTTAAGTATTTAAGATTCGTTAGTTAACATAGAATAAGTTCACAATTTAAGTAATTTTAGGAAATATAAATATAACATCAGCTCTCCCACATATTTAATAATATAAGCATTTTGGTTAATCAATATTTTTCAGTCGGTATTGATATAAATAAACATATATATAAATTTCCTTTAAAAAGTGAACTTCATCTCCAAATTTATTGCATTAAAATCACAAAATAAGGGACATCCACGAAAGTGGGTGTGGATCGGGACACGCAGACCCCATAGTAGAACAGGGGGCGTTACAGTATCCAAGTTACTTATATAGAGTGTATGTAGATAATTTAATGCAAAATTACTCCAATAATTCTACATTGTCTAAAATTACATATAAGTTTATATAAGCGCGTGATGCAATCTTAAGATAATGACGTAAAGGCTTGTGTCCAACAATTGGAACCCAGTCATTTCCAATGGTATTTTATTGTTGCATGGTAAATTTCATTGATGACGTACTCATTTTTTTGCTAATACTCAAGAAATAAGTCAATATATGTACTTAATCTCAAAATCTTTGAAACTAAAAATGTACTAAAATAAAATTGGAATATTTTTTTATTCACGAAATTTGGAGAAAAGAACATGCAAAATTAAATGGTTAAGTCTGTAAAATGTGCATATCGGCAGAGACACAGATTTCCAAGAGCATGTTATCCGTGTGGTAAATATATCCGCGGAACTCGATCGTCTCCCCGGACAAGATGTCGTTCGGGACGATGGAGTATTTTACCGTGTACATCAACCCGGGCTGGACGGACGACCCGGGCAACTCGGTTTGGATGATGATCGTACAAAATCCCCTAAGGCAGACCTCAACCCACAAAGACAACGAGGGGGAGGCAGAACCTGGGGGGAAATTAAGAAAAATTATTGTTGAGGTTTTTTTGCTCAAAAATAAGGTTACCTTTCTTACGGGGGGTGGGTGATTTGAAAATCAGTCTTTTTTGATAATTTGAATTTTTTGATTTTTAATAACATATTTACATATTACTTGGAATGAAGTCATTTTCGCAGTTGTACACGGTTCCTGGGGTTAGAGTGCAGACCCCGTTGCAGTCAGAGATACGGAGCCCAAGCTGAGTTCCGACGCCGCCACATCTGCAAATTTATTTGAAATAAAATATAACTTACCACAATTTCGGAAATTTTTAGACATACATATAGTTTAATTTTGGATATAAATTTGCTAATTCGCAAAGATAATATGGAGTTGAGAATCAGGGAAGAATTCAAAACCAAAAAATTTCTAATAACCTACGAATTTAAAACACAAATTAGTATTTGCAACTCTACAAAGTCAGTCTGGAAAAGAATTTTATAAATACGCAAAAAAAACAATAAGAAAAATGTAAAAATAATCGTTTTCAAAAGTGAATTTTGTTTTTCAAACATCACATTTGTTGTGAAAAACAGGAATTTTATTTAAAAAAACTTAATTGATTACTTACTTACTAAAAACTTAATAGAAAACTTAAAAAATTTATTGAAAATTTTTAAATAACCAACCTGGCGACGGGATCAACCGTCCCGAAGGGAGCGACCGGTCCACCCTTGCGAGAAATGGAGGAAGGGTTCCGACTATGTGTCAGCGAGAGGGCGGAACACGTCCCCAAAATGGCGACCACGACGAGGGCAACGTTTTTCGAAAACATTTTCACTCTTGCTTCGGACTCTGGAAAAGTTTGGAATCGTTTGATTGAATTTATTCGCAAGGCAGAGCGTTTTATACAGCTCGGCTTATCATTTATGATGGATTGATTTGGCACTTCTGAGTGTTTCACCTTTTGCACAAATACAGATTTTGCTTGCGAAAAGCGCAGATGGGTACGTCGTGTGCAAAAAATTCCAGAGTGATTGATAACACCCTGCCTTACGTGGGATGGGTTTTGCGAATATTATTGTGATATTCGCACTCAGTTATTTCTGCAAACCTTCCACTTCATTTTTGCATGCCTATCATTGCGAAATTGATCATTCGCGAAATCTGCGTAAAACACTTGGATTGTACATACACATTGCTATCCACATATTAAGTAAGTCTTCCAAACGTATTTTTTTTACAAATTTTTCTAATTCGAAAAATGTTCTTAAAATTTCCTGAAATTTAGAAACGTTAAAAATTTAAACTTTGACCACCGGTAAAAACACAAATAAATTTCTAGATCGACAATGCAACGCATGCGCGACCCCCTTACAAAACAATGGAGTTAATAATCATTGCGATATTGTGAATCATGTCTCATTCTGCCATCCCGTGACCAACGAGGGCTACGTGTCCTCCGACTCTGGACTCGACATTGATAAATCGTTGTCGAGATAACGGCCCAGTTAAATTTATAAATATAAATATCTACACTTTATCCTGGAATGTTTTGCGCACGAGTATGCATCTATGACACAGTTTGGATTTTGCATGCAAAATACGATCATTCTGCCTCAACAACCCCAATCGAGCTAAGATTGCGATGCGATGCGATGCGATTGCGACGCAAGTGGTCTCGCTTAGTGTTCTCCATGGTCCGGTCCGGTCCGGTCCAGCAGAGGACCGGGACCGGACCGAAGACCGATAAGCTTGGACCGAAACCGGACCGATATTTTTTTACTGGACCGAGACCGGACCGGGACCGAACCGGTGTTATCGGTCCGGTCCCGGTCGGACCGGTATAATTTTTATTTCTAATAGAGCCGCACCATGCAAGTGTTAAGTTATTGGTGCAAATAACATGTACATAGGCAAAGCAACAACAAATATAGAAAAAATTGAACGAATGGTTATATTTTTTTTAGTTAAAGTTGTTTTACTTAATTTTGTTCTCTGTGCGAAAACATGAGGAGGAGAAATGCATAAATTATGGCAGCATAAAAATTTGTTCCAATTTGAATTTGAGAAATTCTTGTAGACAACTCAATGATAAAAAGTTGGCGTTTTTGATATTTTTATTCTCTACTGCTGAAATTTTATCTACACCAACCAGTTAAAAAGTATGTTAAAAGTAGAGTATTTCCTACAAAATTCAGAAATTCAAAACTGGTTGAAACATTTCGTCTTGTAAAGTAATAACGAAAACTTAATTCGCTGCTTTACAGATAAAATAAGTAATTATGGATTTAATATCATTAACAAAATCAGAGGTACCGAGCAGGTCAATAAATGTGTTTTGGTCTGTATTATTTTCGAGTTGGGTTAAGCTTCCGGGATACACTGTACTGTATGCTGTAAGGCGGATGTAATAACGAAAATAAGTTTAGGAAAACTAAATTTTTTATGTAATCTTTGACACCAGGAAATACTGACCTCAATATACAGGGTCAGAAGTCAAAAACTTAAAAAGAATAAAAAACAACTTGCGTCGCGGTTCATTTCCTTCGTTTACTACCTACACATTATTAGCTATACATTTTACCGTTTTTTGTGTAAAAAATTGTTTAAGAAAGAGATATAAAGCATTCGGTAAGACGATGATAATCTTAGAAAGATGGGCTGAGGCTCACGGGGTTTTAAGCCAGTGGTTTAAGAGTTCAAACTGAGGAGGACAACCTTCACCGACAGAATCGACGATCCTGATGGCATTTGAATTATTTTTTTATTTTAAAGTTAAGGCTCCCTTGTAAATATGCTGGTTTGGAATTTGAAAATGTGTGTCTCAGCCTTCTTTTCTTCCGTGTATTCAAATGCCGATTTTGAAACATGTTCATCTCGTGAATTTGTTAAAAAATGAAGATTTTATAAATGGCGTCTAACAAGAGACAATTTTTATGTTCACAAAATTAGGCGGAAAAAAATTAAATGTTTCTTCCATGAAGAAACATTTAATTTTCACTATCATTTTTTTCATCCATTCTAATCCTATTTTCTCATGGTCAGAAAAATCAAAATTATCACCTCCTAACTCTGTGAACCTAAAAATTATCGATGTTTTCATGCAATAAAATCTTTATTTTTTGAAACACACGGGATGAGCAAGTTTCAAAATCTCTAATTCAATACATTGCAGACCAAGTTGAGACAAATATATTCAAACTCAAAACGCTCATTCAATGGTACAAATTAATGACTTATGGGTATTGTCCCGAATTTCGATCTAATATGAAGTTCTTTGTATGTATTTAGAAGACGCGTCGAATTATCTACTTACAAAGGTTACAAAAAACATCGAACGAACAAAAACACGCTGCCCGGAATTTTATTTAAATGATATTATCAAAAATATTTATTACATGTCGTTTAATTACGTCCACGTTTCGACATGCGACAAAAAATACATGAGTTATCACAATGGGGCGCAAACCAATTATGCCGGGATTTTAATTTGAAAGACCAACTCCTTATATGTACGTGTGTAATTTCGTGCGGATCAGTGATCACGAATATGCAAAAAAATGGATGCAAACATTTCCCTTTTTAGCATGTTAAAATATCTGCAAAATTTCTTAAATTTTTTAAATTTCCTAACATTTCCTAATTTAAATTTCCTAACATTTCCTAATTTAAATTTCCTAAAATTTCCTAATTCAAATTTCCTAATTTACATTTCGTCGTTTTTCTTAAATTTCGACACAATCAAAAGTTTAATTGTTTTATTGCCTGCAGAAAAATGTTGCTAATGACAATTTGTTCTTCTTGCAAAAAAACCTGCAATATTTTTCATTTGTAAATTTTTTAAAAGAGAAAATTGGTTTTTTTGTGAATTTTTTTAGCTTAAGCATTACAAAATGAGCTATTTTGCGTTTTTGTCAGATCTGGGAACAACACATTGAGCAAATACAGAGACTGACCAACGGTAAATTCTATAATTTGCCCCCTTGCTGCATAAGAAATGCATACCAAAAAGTGTTCAAATTGTAAACAACCATAACAAGGAGCTAAGTCTTCAATTTTGTCACCAAAAAAAGAAAATCTCCCAAATTTTCAACAAAGTGCACTCATGAAATTAATTCAGGCTCAGTGCCAAGCCAGATAGTCCACTTATTCAAATTGAATTTATATATAGAAACGTGTGACGAAGCTCAAATGGAAAACGTAAGAGAAATGCCTCATCAGTGGTAGCACATAATAGCTGTAAAATTTTTGCTGTCAAAAATTGGTGTGCATATTAATTGTGGTAACTTCATGAAATGCATTAAATCGCTTGCGTTAGTTTGCGTTACCCACACAACAAATGTGGGCAACTATCTCATTTTAAGAAGAATCGCCCATCCATCTTCCCAAGATCATGGTGTTATTTAATTCTGTGGTCAAAATCCTATTAGAATTTTGACACGTAAAAAACGATTTAAAACGCTTATCTAATCCTAACCAAATGAAACCTAGTAATAATTATTAGCAAAGTTTTATGTCATCTTCCTAGCGGCCCCAAAATTGAGTCATAAATTTGAATTTATTTGTTTTACTCAAAAAGTTAACAATGGTAACAACTTTTAATTAATTAGTGAAATTAAGTTCAAAAGTTTAAATTCGGTCGCCACACATTTTTTCTGCTACAACAGTTCCAAGAGACTGCGCCTCGACACATTTCAGCCAGCTTTTCAAACAAATGCATTGTTTAACAGTATCCACTTTCATATTTAGACGCCGATGGCTTAAGATATCGGGACCGTTAGAAAATAGACTCTACCGGAACTCCACTTCCAGCAACAGCGAGAAAGTCCTTTGCCATCGCAGATAATTGAGGAAATTCCTCTGCATGAACCTGAAAAGTGTATGAAATATATTAAGCCATAAAACATTTGGTAATTCATATATTCATATCAGAGGTCGACGCCGTGGGTGGTGTAGGAAATTGAATTTATCGGCGTGCCCAGGCAGCGTCGAACTCTGATTCATACAGATATAACTGGTATACATTGTATGCTATACAAACCTTCCACCAACCCAAAGCTCCACATGAAAGTAATGAAGAGTCAACTGTTTTTTCCGAACAATACTTGTCAAACTCATCTACAGGCTCTAAGCGTCTCATTTTGCGGAGTTGCTTCTCAAAGATATTCTCTCTCACATCGGCCGTTTGATCCTTGTCTCGCGTACCTTCACCTTTTTTGTATGACGTTGCCCATTTTTCAGTCAGTCGCCTAAGTGACAAAAAACTTTCTCAACTACAAGTAATCATCAAAAATTGTGTTTTCTTTAGTTTCCGTTTTATTACTTTCTGTATCCAGAGATTGCGTCTATTCCAAATTTAGAAGCCTCGTACCATTCAAATTTTAGCCGAGGATCAAACACTAAAAGAAAGCGTAAAACAAACTTTCGATTTGATTACAATGTCGATAAGAACCCCCAACGGTGTTAAAACCGCTCTCCCCGCTCACGAGTTTTTAGCTTTTTTAAACCGCACTGCGGTTTATAAAAGTGCTCTTTCTTCCGCTCAAAAATAAAATCTACTTGAAGATGATTTTTTCGCTCTTTTTCCTACTTGTGAGTTAAAAAGCCGTTTTTTCAGACATGTTAATGGGGAAGTACTCGATTTTGATGCTCCTTGCATATGTTGCTGTACTAGGCGAGCGATTAAACATCAAACTCATTGTTTTAAATTTTTTAATATTTTTTTGGAATTTCCTGCATTCTTCGGACGTCATCGAAAAAATTGAAGTTTTACAAAAGTTGAGTTCGATGTTGAGCATCGAAAAGGAACTAAGGAGTAGAAGGTCGCAGGTTGTCACAACCAGATTTTGACGCCTTTTGGATATGTTGTAGTACTATATGATTGTACGAAAAGTGAAGAAGGATTTTACTCCATGGCCCCATTTGCGCCCGCCACACCCCCTCAA